CTGTGTTTTAACACCCAAAGCTCCGCTATGCAAATCCCCAATCTCCCGCCACAGCCCGCCTCTCGGCGGCACCTCTCCTCTCCCCACTCCTCACTGATCCCCCTCTCCGGCCCCGGGGCCCCCCAGGTCCAGGGGAGGCAGGAGGGGACCGGGGAGGGAGCAGGCCCCGCTGGGCCGTGCCCACTCCGGTAAGGCCCCCCACGGGAACCGACGGGTGGGTGGGCTCCCCTCGTGTCCTGCTCCCCCTACCCCCCCAGTTTCCCTTGGTTAACACAACCCATCGGGATCCTTTATGGCACCTCCCGCTGCCTGCACCCGCCAAGGCCGCGGCAGCACGGCCCTTCCCCGCGCCCCCCCCCACCGGCGGCGGCGGCGGCGGCGGCGGCGAGGCCGCTACTCACTCGACGAAGGCGCGGGAGCAGAGGCAGAGGATGCTGTGGGCCGGCCCCGCCTGCAGCAGCAGCTCCGCCACCGGCCGCCCCCGCGGGTCCTGCACCATCGCTGCGGGAAGACCCACGCCGCGGCACCGGCCCCGCCGCCTTCCGCCGGAACTGCCCTCAGCGCCGGCGCCGCCCCGGGACCGCCCGCCTGCGCCTGAGGGGGCGGGCGGCGCCGATGAGAGCCGAGTCCAGCCGAGCCGAGTCCAGCCGAGCCGAGGCGAGCCGAGTCCAGCCGAGGGGAGCCGAGTCCAGCTGAGGGAAGCTGTGTGTGAGGGAGGAGGACAGGCAGCCGCGGCAGTGGCGGTGTCTCCTCTCAGGAGGCTGGTGTCTCCTCTTGTCACGGCTGGAGCCATGCACCTCACTCGTGGAGAGAAGCAGCGATACACGTATTGATATTTAACAAAGTGTGAGGCTAAACGCGACATGGTTAGAGGTGGCGAGACACATCTGGGCTATGCACTGCACAGAGGACAGGGTCAGGCAGAACTGCCAGGGAGACCCTCCCCTTGAGTCAAGGATGCAGAAAGGACCCTCTTGCTATCTAAAGTCCTCCTCAGAGAGGAGTCTTGTCTCCTCTTGTCACGGCTGGAGCCATGCAGCTCGCTCGTGGAGAGAAGCAGCGATACGTGTATTGATATTTAACAAAGTGTGATGCTAAACGCGACATGGTTCGACATGCCAAACGCATCTGGGTTATGCACTGCACAGAGGACAGGGTGAGGCAGAACTGCCAGGGAGACCTTCTCCTTGAGTCAGGGTTTCAGAAAGGACCCTCTTGCTTTCTAAAGTCCTCCTCAGAGAGGAGTCTAGGTGCAGCTGGATCCAATCCCAGTCCCAGACTTGGTCAAGAGTTTATGTCTAAAGGATTATATATGCACAATCAAGTCATTCTGTCATTTAGCTAAGATTTCAAAGTTCATCATGTTCACAATCAAGTCTTTCTATCACTTAGCTAAGATTTCAAAGTTCATCATGCTATTAGTCGCTTACTGAGGATCTATTGTGGCAAGGAGTCTCTGAATCTTGAGAAGTAACCTTGAGAGGTGTCCCTACCCAAGGGGAGATCCTGGCGTGCAGCCCACTTCCATACAGGATTGCTCAGAGCTCTTGGGCTCTTTACTATTTATGGACGTAAGATGATTGACCCATTTATGGTTTTTTTGCATATTGACCACTGTACTGGTATTGCTCAAGTTAGCCCACGTTGTTATCTGTCTCCCTGAAACCACGTTGAGCCCCAGATGCTGCCACCACAACTAGATAGACCCGTGGTGACCACCACAGGTGGTTATTGCTTGGGCAGGGTTGCAGGGAATAAAGATCAGGCTGGGGCCTGGGGACGAGGAGCACACTGCCACAGCAGAGAATCATAGAGTCGTAGAATGGTTGAGGTTGGAAGGGACCTTAAAGATCATCGAGTTCCAACCCACTCTGCCATGGGCAGGGACATCTGGATGGGGCTGGATGGGGCTTTGAGCAACCTGCTGTAGTGAGGTGTCCCTGCCCATGGCAGGGGGGTTGGAATTCAATGATCCCTTCCAACCCAGACCATTCTATGATTCTATACTGTACCTCCCACTAGAGCAGGTTGCTCAAAGCCCCATCCAGCCTGGCCTTGAACACCTCCAGGGATGGGGCATCCACAGCTTCTCTGGGCAACCTGAGTGTCTCACCACCCTCACAGGAAAGAATTTCTTCCTAGTATCTAATCTAAATCTCCCCTCTTCCCATTCAAAACCATTACCGCCTGTACTTGGCACTGGTGAGGCCCCACCTTAAGCACTGTGTCCAGTTTTGGGTCCCTTACCACAAAAAAGACATTGAGGTGCTGGAGCGGGTCCAGAGAAGGGCAATGAAGCTGGTGAGGGGTCTGGAGAACAAGTTTTATGAGGAGAGGCTGAGGGAGCTGGGGTTGTTCAGTGTGGAGAAGAGGAGGCTGAGGGGAGACCTTATCACTCTCTACAACTACCTGAAAGGAGGGTGTAGAGAGGTGGGGGTCGGTCTCTTCTCCCAAGTCACAGGCGACAGGACAAGAGGAAATGGCCTCAAGTTGCGCCAGGGGAGGTTCAGATTGGATATTAGGAAAAATGTTTACACTGAAAGGGTTCTTAAGCGTTGGAATGGGCTGCCCAGGGAAGTTGTTGAGGCACCATCCCTGGAGGTATTCAAAAGATGGGTTGACATAGAGCTTAGTGACATAGTTTAGTGATGTGGTTTTTTGTTTTTGTCAGAGTTAGGTTGATGGTTGGACTAGATGATCTTAAAGGTCCCTTCTAACCTAGATGATTCTATGATTCTACATTCAACACATGATGTACTATGTGTTTTGTCTTGCTGTGCTGTCTCATTTCCTTTGCATCAGTACATTTTGGCTAACAAGGCTATACAGCCCCATGAAGATGCTTCAACACATGATGTACTATGTGTTTTGTCTGCTGTGCTGTCTCATTTCCTTTGCATCATTACATTTTGGGTAACAAGGCTTTACAGCCTCATGAAGATCTAAGATGTCCTCAGAATTTTTAAGACACTTCATGTAGGAACTATGCAAAGGAGAGTTAGGAGGCAGAAGGACTGACTGTTCAGGTGACAGTAGCACAGCTGCCATACAACAACAAATTCCATTCACTTACAAAAAAAATCTTCAAATTAATTCTATCCTGAATCATGAACCATCTTACATCTGATATAACCTAAAATATTAAATGCTGTCAGTAGTCAGGACTTGTATATATTTATTGCTACAGTAATTAAATACTTCAGAAATACAGGGAAAGATTACACCACTCGTATGGGTATAACTGCATCTGCAATTAGGGTGCTACATCACCATCATATTTCAAAATGGAAAATGCAGTAAAATAAAAATCTTTCAACACAAATTGTTTAGCAACAGCCAAATGCTGAGTCTATAAAAGTTGAATTGTGAAATATTCTGAGAATTCTACTCCTCTTGCTAAGGAAACAATAGCACATTTCAAGTGAAATGCAGAGAATACCTCTGTGCAAGAACAAGATGACTGTTCTTTTATAATATCCAGGCCTGACATCCTGCAGCCCCCAGGAGCAGCCATCAGCAGGTAAGGCTAGAAATAAGGGGATGGGAATGCCTCCTAATACTCTCCCATTCCCCAGCCATCTACAGCTGATGGTATATGTTTCTGCCTGTTTAGTTAGACAGTGGATTTCTCCTCACCGTACTTGTCCAGTTTTCCCCTGGACCCATCATCTAGCGGTGAGTTGCAGAGATCTATCAGCTGTTGCATGAGAACTCACCTTTTTTATTTTGATCGTGGCTTCTCCCGGCTTCAAGTGATGCTTTCCTTATTGGAAGAGTAAGGGGGCAATTGATTTAGAGTCAGCTACTGCCCTGCTGAGTTTTATAGATGTCAGTCACATTCCTTATAATCTTTCTCTTTTCCGAGCTGCTGAGCCTTGACATATTTGATGTTTCTTCTCTGGGAGCCTCTGGTTTTCCTCATTACTCTTTTCTGACCCTTTTCTAGTCGTGCTCTATCATAGTAGTGATATCCCCTTTGGACCAGGCTGCGCTGATGGGTCTGACCCAGGCAGGGCAGGGCAGAGCACTTGGAGTCTGATTTTTAGCAGGCATGATTTTAAAAATTTAGCTAGCAGAAAGATTGCTTGTAACCACGCTTGTTTGAGTTTAGCCTGCACTGGCGAATAGCGTGCTTAAGCAAGAGGAAAATAAGCCATCCTTAAAAAATAATCACTGATGAGATGCAACTGATTAAAAAAGTTACATGTGATGAAGCTGGTTTAAGTTGGTTCTTGACAAGGAATCAGTTCTGTAGGAAAGCGATGGGCTGTCGGTACTGATTTGGTGAGGGGCTTACACGTCGTCCCACTGGAACCTGAAATGATTTCCCTGATGCACAGGAATGAAGCCAAAGCAGCCAGCGGCTCTGGAGCCGGCTCCCCAGGCTGCTTGCCCTCCTCTGCCCGCCCTTGCCTTTCCCCTGCCAGATCCTGTTCTCAAACGCTTCCTTCTCCGCTTCCCTTGCCAGTTTTCTGCTCCTTGTTCCTTGCTCTCACAGACCATCTCAGACATCAGCTCATAGCCCTTCTTGGACCTATCTGTTGCTATTTTTTATGTATATATCTCAGGTGATAGTGAAGATCTCTACTTCCTGGTGATCCCTGCTTTGCTGCTTTTATCTGTGCTGCTCAGAATGTGACCTTGCCTCCCAGCTAACGTTAAAGCTCTTCATTATTTCCTTCTTTTTAAATCTGTTTTCAAGGCTAACTTCCATGGCAGATACTGACCAAGTAACAATAAGTTGAGAGATGCTGAGAACAGCACCTGTAACTATTAAAAATAAACCAAAAGCAACTATATGCAATGTGTATAAAATAGAAGATATTCTCACAGTAACTCTCAGCTGCTCATGTAATTCTGAGCTCCAGCACGTCTCCCTTACCGTGTATGAGACATGCTGGAGAAATAAGGCAAATATTTGAGTCAAGCTGGGGTTTATTGTATGTTTATGTAAGAACTTACAGAAAATAATCTTCACGGTTTTCTTGGAGAAAGTTATTGGTTTATATATGTATCTGAATATAATAAAAAACCAAGTTGTTTATAATGTCTTAGTTTATAAACAAATTATAAGATTAAAACCAGTATTTAAAATGGAGTAACGTTTTCTAAGTTACGTGTTACAAAAGACAAGTAATTCTCTCATCTTTCTGTAGTGGATAAGCTGAGACAAATATATGAGAGACTTTAACAGAGTGTACTGTATTCTCACTTAGCAAGAAGGGACATGTAGACCTGAACTCCATACAGCAGAATCTCTAATCTCTGCAATTTATATATCGGAAGAATTGATTTGGCTGAAGTATCTGGATGATTTTCTGCAATGTGTGTCCTGGTTCTGGTTGATCCAAATACCTGGTACAGTGCTCTCTGTACCTGAGGTTTTTCTGCCTCATGTTGTGTACCTTTTCAGTCTTTTGCTTCACATTTACAAAAGAAAGGATGGCTTAAAGGGACATTGTTCCAATGAACCATGGGACAGAAGGCAGAAAATGGTGAAAATGGAAAATTGTGGCATTGTAAGTGAG